AAACATTTACCTATAAAGAGTAAAATCAGAGAAACTGGTAGTTTTTCTCTGATTTCTTAATTTTTTCCAGAGCTGCACATTCATATCAAAATATCGCAAAACAACAGAAGAGGACTAGGACCACTGAAAAAATAAAATTCAGATTTTTTTTCTCAGAATTTTATTTAAAAAATTAAGAATTCTGAGGATTCAGTGATGCTGGTTGTTTAAATAATCAGAAATTATTTAAAGAGGACATGAAGAAGCTCTAGTAGCATATTTAGAGCTAAACTTAACTTTAAATTGAATTGTTTCATTGCCAATTATTTCCATTTCCAGAATAGAAATAACTCATTGAATTTTGTATTTCTCCACAGAGCAGTCAGTAACTACAACTGATCTAAAGCAGAAAGTCATGAAAGCTGCAGATTTATTCGTGTGTTTATTTATCACATGTACAAGTTTTGGTAACACTTTATTAGAAGGGGTGTGCATAAGACTGGCATGACATAACACCTGCCATAAACATGAAGGAGTCTTTATGAATGTTTCTGACAGTTGTCATGAAGCGTCATTCGGTAAATAATTACACTTTTAATGCAAAGTTGCTCTAAAAGTGCCAACTTTGCATGATTTTGTAAATTATGATAATTTAATGCAAAGTTGGCATTTTTAATGGACTTTCAATGCAACTTTTAGAGCAACTTTGCATTAAAAGTGTCATTATTTACCGAACGACACTTTATGACAACAGTCATAAACATTCATAAAGACTCCTTCATGTTTATGTCATGTTCATGACGGTGTCATGCCAGTTTTATCCACACGCCTTCAAATAAAGTGCTACCCAAGTTTTTGTGGCAATGCAACATTCACCAAGACATTAAAATAGGACCATTTGGGAAATTAAGATGTTTGCCGAACTGAAATGTTACTAAACAGGAACACCAAATTATATGTCGTTTATAATTTTATTGACTTTACCAAACATTCAATTCAAAACGAGGGGCTTGGATTCATACATCTTGTTTACACGGCTACTAGAAAGGCTGGCAGCCTGGATGTGTAAAGCCTTCAGAAGTGTTTGAAG